GGGGTGTGTGTGTGTGTGTGTCCTACCAACTGAAAATGTTTAATGTGTCCCGCTTGCTCATATGACCATATGCAGTTGCGAGTGCTGTAAAACACTTACAGGACTTATGTCACTCTCTGACTGCAACCATCGGTATATTGCATAATATGTCATCGAAACAAAAATGATGTCCCCTTTTCTTTAATAATAATGATAAATGACATTTGTATTTAGCGCTCAACCCCGATTAAAGTACACTGGCTCTGAGCGCTTTACAATACAGTACAACGTACAACAGTAACATAAAACGTTATGTTCTGACTAAAAGAAAATTACTGGAAATATTAATCTTATTTTAATGTAGAAACGAAAACGGCTTCAGCTGACATTTGAATGAATCTTTCCTTCTTAGTTTTAGTTTTAGTAGAAGTTTTACGGCACTCGCAACTGCATAAGGTCATATGAGTGCCAGAAGATAAGAGGTGTTACAAGAGGGTAACAAACATAAAAAAGAAGGAGAGATAAGGACGATAGATGTTTGATAGGAAAGAAGAAGCAAACCACACCAGAGCACCCGCCAACCACCCACATCTTTCCTTCAACAACCCCTGACCCCTTCCTCCTGTATATATGGTCGCTTTTAAGGACAACCGGGCTAACCCAGATTTCGGGGGTTTCCAGATATCTTGACCTACACCATAAGTGGGCATTGCCCTACCTATACAAAAAGTTTGGTTTCATTGGTGTGTATATTTGTTTGGTTATAGAGAAAACTCTCCTTGTCTTTTAAAGAAACTGAACAAGGGGCAAAAACTTCACCATCAATTAAAAACCCCACCAGCATTTTGCGGGATAGCCCCCTTGTGCTTAAAAGAGACCATATGTCATTGAAACAAGAATTATGTCCCCTATTTCCTTCCTTCAACGACCCCTGACCTTTTCTTCCTCCCGTATGTTTGTACCAGCCTTCGCCCTCCAGGCTGTGTTTATGGTTGCTGCGGGTTACCTGATGTCGCGAGCTGCGGCCGTGGCATGCCTGACTGTCGCGGTGGGCATCGGTGGGTTTGCCTGGGCTGGCTTCAGTGTCAACCATCTGGATATTGCTCCTCAGGTAAGCTGGGGGAGGGGGG